AAGATTTTATTTATTTATTCATGAGAGACAGAGAGAGAGAGGCAGAGGGAGAAGCAGACTCCCAAGGAGCAGAGAGCCCGATGCGGGACTCGATCCCAGGACCCTGGGATCATGACCTGAGCCGAAGGCAGACGCTTAACCATCTGAGCCACCCAGGCGCCCCTCAGTTTAGTTTCTAATATAGTAAATATTAAAAGATATATTCCACATAAACAGAAGTTTTTTAGGGGTTCTCAGTAATTTTTAAGAGTATAAAAGGGTCTTGAGAGCAAAATTTTGAGAATCACCATGCTAAATGCTAGAACTACATGCTTTAGTTGGCAAGAGGAGATGGGCTCTAACATGTAAGTAGAGGGACAGACTTTGGATAGAAGCACATTTAGGTAATCGTGCTAATAGATAGGAAGTTAGAGTATATGGGTAGATGCTGGTCGTATGGGTCAGTGAGACACTGTAAGTAGCTCACTCTTAAGGCAGTGAAGAGAAGGTTCAAGAACTACATTTTAAAGACATAACACACAAAAGACTCCAGACTCCCACCCATACTCATCCCCTCTAAACCTCAGAAAATATCACTAGAAGTGACCAATGTCAAAAACAAAGGGTATCCAGGGCGCCTGGGTGGCTCAGATGGTTAAGCGTCTGCCTTCGGCTCAGGTCATGATCCCAGGGTCCTGGGATCGAGCCCCGCATTGGGCTCTCTGCTCAGCAGGAAGCCTGCTTCTCCCTCTCCCACTCCCCCTGCTTGTGTTCCCTCTCTCGCTGTGTCTCTCTCTGTTAAATAAATAAATAAAATCTTTAAAAAAAAAAGGGTATCCTACCGGCAGCACCAAAGTTATTTGTCCAGAGCTTTAAAAAGCTTTGAAAGGGAAAAAGGGAGGAGGAGAAGGAGTATTCTAAGCATGGGAAACAGGATCTGGGGACCTTAGAAACAGAAGGAAGCAAACTGAGTGTTATTAACTTTGTGCTTAGAGCAGAGAGTAAGGGGGAGTGTTTTAAGAACGGTTAGGGAAGGTTAGGGTCAGATGGAAGAGAAAACAAAACCATAGGAAACATTCAGGCTTACCTGTCCACTCCATCCCAGCGATATCCAGGCCAGATATTGAATCTGTTGGGAGGAGGTGCAGGACCACTGTAGCGAGGTCTCACTAGTGAGAGGAGAGAAAGAGAAAAGAAGTTAGTTACCTATGTAACTCAATTCAGAGCTGGGTGGCAGTGGTAACAAAAAATTTTATACAGAAATCTCTACTGAGCTGAACCCAAATTCCCAAACACAAGGAACCTAAGACTGTATGGGAAAGCCCATACATGTGCCCAGCTAAAGACCTTCTCTCCTTCCATAAGTCACCTCCATCTCTGGTGAGTCCCAGAAGGCTCACCTTTCTTATTCTTGTTCTCCTTGGCTTTATTCTTCTTGATAAAGTCGGCCATGGGGTCCCCCTCTCTTTCCTGTTCTCTCAGCATCCGATCCAGATCTTCATCATCAATATAGCGGGCCAGAGGCTTCTGCATTTCCTTCACTGCATCCTCCACGTTTTGTTGCTGCTGCCGGCTCTGGGCTAGCCTGGGCAAAAAGAACCAAGAGCGTCTGCTATCCTGTGTAACATTTCCCCTCTTACACTGAGATAGACCATATGACTACATTTGGAGAACCTCATTTTTCTGGCAGCTTAGGCCAAATATTGAAAAGAGTAAAATTCCTAGAATACCAACTGAAAGTGTGGACTCCATCCGTATCTTAGAAAGGAGATTGAGCACACTGAATTTTCCATTCCTGAAACAGCTCTGAAGGCAAAGCAATGAACTAGCTGGTCAGAAAAGTAAAGAATGAACTTCTCCAGTTCTAGCGTAGTCATGTTCTTCATTTCGGTGATTCTCTTACCCTTTGCCCCACTGAGCGTACAGCTCATCTCTCTCCAAGTCCTTCTCTGCTTTTCTCCTTTGCTCTAAACGTTCCAGTTTCAAATTCCTCTTACGACCAGATTTATCTCGAAATACGGTTTCAGCATACTGGAATTCAGCTGCAAAGGAAAATTCTACTTTTAAAGATAAACACCAGGTATCAAAATCAGAAATAATTCTAACAGCTGAAATCAACCACTTGGGATTCTGATGCTGGATAAAAACTTTGGCAGCCAGACTACAAATAGTTCCTACCAATATCTAACCTTTTTCAAGAAGGAAAAGAATCACTTGGGCCCACTAAGAAGTCAAAATAATGCGTAAAACCAGAGCTTTTGAAACTTAATATCAATTAAAAGTTTAAAATATCACATACAATAAACTACATTTAAAAAATAATAAAATCTACATGAGACTCGAATGGTCTCTGCACTTTCACATTTTTACCTTCAAACGCCAGGGCTTCTTGGTCCCGTTTCTTGAGCTCCTGCTGTTCTCGCTGTATGTCAGTTAACACCAACCCAGTTTTAGCCCCAGAATACATGTGTGCAGCCTATGCAATGGAAAAGGGAGCATCCAACATTAATGAGACAATGTAGCAGCAGGCTCCAGGGTATACAGTTAAGTGCATTTTTGCCTGATGATTAGCAATAACCAAACCAAAAACTCTAGCCTTGTATTCTCATTACCGACCACAAGATTCACAAAATAAAAAAGAAGAAATAAAATTGAATTTGATGGCAAATTAATAGTACTATCAAGTTTTAAGAATAAACAGAAACACAAACCAAGAAAATATTAAAGAAAAGGCACAGCATCTATATTTCTGACTTTTCAGTATATAAACTGCACACATGAAGCTGCACTCTCAGGTCACCTGATCAGAAACCTGTATCAAGCTCTAAGCCCTCCAGGAGAGACCCACACTGATAAAATATTCCATTTCAACTACAAACTCAAGCAAACTAAGGTCCTTCAGTTGTGGATATATTTTAGGATCATGACAAGTTACGACCCAATCAAACCTTTTTATTAAACTCCATTCCCTATCAAGATAAACAACCAACCCACAAATGGAGTATATAGTGTATCATGTGCAATGTACTCAATTTGATTACTAGGAAACTGTCCATGAAGTAAACAGACGCATAAAATGTCAAGGCGTCCAGTTGCAACACAAACCTCACTTTCTTCCCCAAAAAAGAACCCCACTTCCTGAGTCAGGGACAGACTACAAGGACCATGTGGGCGACAGAGGAGACCTACCTGAAAAGTCTGGGTTGGAGGGAAACGGGCACACTGCAGGCTCTATTCCTGTTTCTTAACCAACTCACTGGAATAAGATTCTGTCCCTAGCACTGGCGTGCTTCACAAAACAATTGCTCAGAGTTCATGTGGATGTTCTGGGCAAGTCATGCTTCATCACACATTTAAAATAAAACAAAACACTGACTTCCCAGGTGGTATAATTTCCAGAAGTTGTTTTATATTTTAAATGCCTCTCTTTAAGCTCTGGATACAGAGACCCGCAGTCCAATTTATAACAATAAATTGCTTACGCTAATGTCTCACTTTGTCCTGGGCACTGTGCTAAGAGTTTTATTTACCCTGACTCATTTAACTCTCACAATAACCTCATGAAGTACATACTACTATTATCCATGTTTTACAGATGAAGAAGTTGGGGCTTAGAGATATTCCATAGCTTAGTCAAATTTCACAAACAGCAGTTGAAGAAGTAGAATTCGAATATGTGATCTGATTAACACAAGGTTTGTACTCTGAACTCTACTCTATAAACTATAGTTCTCAGTTCATTCCTAAGACAATAGGAAGTTTTTCCAGACCTCTTAAAAAATGAGATTTGTGGAATAAAGAGGCTAGAAAGGCAGAAGATACTTAGGAAACCTTGTGTTTGCTAGTTCATCTGGGCTGGGTTATAGGCAGTCCTGCCCTCAGAGAGAAGCAAAGAGCTCTAGAGGGAACTCTGCACTAGATTTACTATGCTACCGGGAGCTACCTCCTCCCTCTCTGGTTTGTATATCTGAGACATGTATAGAGATAGAAAACAAGTCACTCTAAGGAAAGGACAGGACTCCTGAAAATTCCTACCTTCTTTCCTAAAGGCTGACTCCTTCGAGGTGGAGACAGATCAGAATCAGAAGATTTGACCCTCTGTTTCCTCCTTGGTGGAGACAGGTCGGAATCAGAGCTCCGATGTGTAGGTCTATTCCGTGGAGGTGAAAGATCTGAATCAGAATCCTTGTGCCCTGAACTTTGCTTATGGCGAGGAGGAGAAAGATCTGAATCTGAGGCTTTCCAACTATCACTTGGGTAGGAGGAAGAGTCCAACACGTGACTCCGATGTCTCCTAGGTGAAGAGCTTGTGTGAAACTTCCTATGGCTGGGGGAAGAGTCTAGAAATTAAAAAATAAAGTCTTTAATCCCCTTGGCAGAATCTTAAAAACAGAACTTACCAGGCTAATATTCAATATTCATTCAGTCTTCCTCTAAAGAGCTATCACTACTCAAATACAAGTACAGATGACACGGGAGAAGAGCAGAGTCAGGGACAACTCTTAAAACCAACAGGCAGGATATGGGGTTCTATTCCCAAGTTACTACTAGTGACTGTGACTAGCATGTGAGACCTCAACATACTCACCTATGTCATATTTATCTGAGCATAGAATGGGCAAAACAACTTGCGCTCAGATCTCAGTGTTGTGGCAAAAGTTAAAAAATTACCTAGAATATACCTGGGTGGCTCAGTCGGTTAAACATCTGCCTTCGGCTCACTAAGGCTCCCTGCTCAGCCCCGTGTCAGGAGAAGTCTGCTTCTCCCTCTCCTTCTGCCCCTCCCCCCATTCATGCTCTGGGTTCTCTCTCTCTCTCAAATAAATAAAATCCTTAAAAAAAATGAAAACAGTACCTAGGGACAAAGACTGAGTAAACAAATCTCACTGCATAGGCCTGAGTTGTAGACAGAAACATCACAAATCAACTCTCAAAAAGGCAATCTGCAATGGGTATCAACAGTCTTAAAAATATACATCCCTCTTACCCAATAAGTCAATTTCTACTTAGTTTCCTAGGAAACATTATCTAGATGTACTTAAATTACCAGGAAATCTATCTAAAAGTAGATAAGGAAATAATCCAGAATGGGGCAACAATTTATGTACACGGCTTACTTTAAAATTATAAAAGCAAAAATTTAGAAATAACCTAAAATATGCAGTATTAGGGAAATGGTTAAGCACATTTATGTAACGGAACATTAATAAAGATCATATAGACAAAGAGATGTTTTTATGACACAGGGAAAATAACATTAAGTGAAAAAACCAGGCAAGATTATACATACAACATGTATATACTACATAGTAAGAGCTTAACTACATAAAAAGTGAATAGAAAAAAGCCTAAAAGACCACTAGCCACAACACTAAGCGTGAATGGCTCTGAATGACAGAATTTTGGATAACCTTTCTTCTACTTCTTTACGCATTTCTATACACCCTGAAATTTCTACATCAGACATGTAGTATTTTCATATGGGGTGGGAAGAAAACACAAAAATATGTAAAAATGTCCTCCTTGCCACGGTAAATTTTAACTCTCCTCAGCCCAACCTCTCCCCATTTCCCTACAGTTTTTAAAACTTCTCCAAAAAATACCATTCTCATTTCTAAAGACCACAAGTAAAAGGTCCAAAAGAAAGCACCTAGGGGGTAAGTCCCTCTCATGGGCAATCAAATGCTTACCTTTAGAATCATGCTTATGGGATTTTGCTTGCTTTTTTCGTGGAGGAGAGAGGTCGGAGTCATACTCATACTTGCTGTTCTTTGGGAGTGATGCATGAGATGGTCCCGGCCCCTTCCAGTGTGGAGAAATTTTGCTAGAGGCTCTTTCTGGGGCTTTATTGCTTTTGGTTCTGGGCAGTGAATGAGGGACATTAGCAGCCAAATCAGGGGAGTCATGACGGGCCCTCCTGAGCTGTGATGTGTCCAAGGAGTCAAGAGTCCTTCTAGGTTGAGATGTGTCAGGGGAGCTATTTCGGGCCCTTCTGGGAACAGAGCTATCTGAGGAATTGTGATGGGCTTTCCTAGAAGACACACCTGAAGAGTGACGATGAGGCTTCCTGAGGCGAGAAGGATCCAGAGAAGTATGACAGGCCCTCCTGGGAGGAGATGGGTCTGGGGTGTCATGACGGACCCTCCTTGGGGGAGAGGAATCTGGGGTATCATGACGGACCCTCCTGCGAGGAGATGAATCTGGGGTGTCATGACGGACCCTCCTGGGGGGAGATGAATCCGGGGTGTCATGATGGACTCTCCTTGGGGGAGAGGAATCCGGGGTGTCGTGACGGACCCTCCTGGGGGGTGATGAATCCGGGGTGTCGTGACAGACCCTCCTGGGGGGAGATGAATCCGGGGTGTTGTGACGGACCCTCCTGGGGGGAGATGAATCCGGGGTGTCGTGACGGCCCCTCCTGGGGGGCGACGAATCTGGGGTGTCGTGACGGACCCTCCTGGGGGGAGATGAATCCGGGGAGTCATGACGGAAGTGTCTGTGTGAGGGCAGATCTTCACTGTGGCCTAAACACAAAGGGCAAAGAGTTACATCCCCACAGGTGCTCTATTCACCCCTGGTACTCAAAGTTTCAAAAGATGCCCTGGCAACATACATGTCAAAACCACTCAGAAATCCCATCTGCACAGCTCTTCTGCTTAGGGGAAGTAAACCAGCACTCTTGAATACCTTAAAGATAACCTCTTGTATTTGCCTAACAAGCCATTTAAATGCATTTTTCATATTATACCTTGGGCTGGTATAATATGGTACTGTATTATACCAGCTGGGCAGGTATCCTTGTTTCACAGACACAAAAACAGAGGCTCCAAGATGAGTGATTTCTTAACGAAAGTCACAGCCACTAAGATAAAGAGATAAGCTAACACCCTGATCCTCTAGCTGTCAATCCAATGCTATTCCTAAAACCGTGTCTGTGCAAAACTCCCAGAGGCTCCTACTGATATTCAGACTAGATAACACACAGTTCATATTCACTCTTCTTTGAAAAGGCAAAGTGACTAAGCCTGTGCCACATCAAAATGAAATACTGTTAACTATTTAATCCACATCCCTGTACTCCTTACTGGGGGGAGATCACCAGATAAAAAGAGGGATCAGCATTTCCTAATCACCTACTACAAGCCAGTGGTTTATAGAGATTCCCACACTTAATTCTCACAACAAGCCTGAAAGACAAATATTGTTATCTCCATTTTATAGATGAAGAAGTTGATACTGAGAAAGATTAAGCCATACTGCTAATATGTGGTGGAGTAGTGGGGGATCCAGTCCAGATCCATCAGACTCCAGAGTCCATGTGCGATCTTTTAAAATAGGTAGTTGAGGAAAGAGTTTGAAACTTCCAGTTTTCAAAGGTCTAAGAGAATGAAATGTTTACAGCAACTCAGGACATTTCCAAAATCCAGTTTCTCCTCTCCCTCTGTTTCTTGTCATTGAGCTCCATGGCCCCAATACAAATAAATGCTGGGTAGGGCCCAATGAGTAATTGCTAAGTGGATGAATTAAACCAAGTCAACTCCTTTACTTTGGAGAACAGTCCTATCTGACTGGAATCACCACTCACAGAAGAGTACTGATATCTGTGGGAGACCTGACAGCAAATCTAATCCATGCAATTGATAAATTACATGATATTTATAAAAAGGAAGTAAGGATCAAAGACCAGTGAGGATATTTCCAGTGACAAATGGGGATGGAGCAGTGAAAGTGAAGAAAAAGAATTATCTGGTGGGAGGGGGGCAAGGGGGTGCGGGCAGTTTGGTATCACTTCCTAGACCTATAATATGGAGACCAGAAGATTCTCTCTGAAAAAAGGACTATGGAAAAGACTGGAAACACAACCACAGATAAGGCAGAAAATAGTAAGAGTAAACAAGATTCTGATAAAAGAGTACATACTGATAATAAACTTTTTATTCATAAAACATAACAATAATGTACTGAAAAGTTAACTGAGGCAATAGCGATCACTAACCTATAGCCAACTGTCACTGTCACTTTGGTTATGCATTTTTTTCTTATCAGAATTGTAGGGTAATTAACATAAGCAAAAAGTGTAACACAGAAAGAACAAATCCTGTTTAGGAGTTAATTCTTCTACCCTTCATGTATGAAAAAGGAACATGTGTCAAGAGTAAACTGGAGTTAAATGGCTATCCAGAAGATCCCTGTTTATGCCAGGCAGGGGAAAAACCAAGACAAATAAGAATATGGCTTGTCTAGGGGCGCCTGGGTGGCTCAGTCATTAAGTGTCTGCCTTCGGCTCGGGTCGTGATCCCTGGGTCCTAGGATCGAGTCCCACGTTGGGCTCTCTGCTCAGTGGGAAGCCTGCTTCTCCCTCTCCCACTCCCCCTGCTTTTGTTCCCTCTCTCGCTGTGTCATTTTATTTATTTGACAGAGAAGCAGGGGCAGAGGGAGAGGGAGAAGCAGGCTTCCCGCTGAGCAGGGAGGCCAATGCGGGGCTCGATCCCAGGACCCAGGGATCACGACCCGAGCCGAAGGCAGACACTTAATGACTGAGCCACCCAGGCGCCCCTAAATAAATAAAATCTTAAAAAAAAAAAAAAGAACAGGGCTTGTCTCTGCTCAAACATGACAAACAAATGCCCTTCATCCAATCCTCAAAAACAAAAAATTTTTAAAAAGGGAGTTAAATTATTAGCCTAGGGAGAGGGTATAGAGTGGGCAAGTGGAGGATAATGCACTGCAAAATACCAATATTTAAAGGAAGAACAAAGAAAGATTTACTTCTCCAAAGCCCTGTCTATGTATTAAGTGCCCCTCTATTTGGGCTTGAGGGGAGTGATTACTGCAAGGTCCCCAAATAAGTCACTTCCTGACTTCAGTAACCCTAAGAGAAAATGGGATACTTGGTCTCTCAGTTCCCATGTCTTGCTACCTCTGAAGAAGTTCTGAATTCTTTTTCACACTGTATTTTTCAGGATCAAGGACACACTAAAACAAACTATGCATTTCTCTAAAAGAAAAGTATAGAGAAGAAAAAAAGGCCTCCCCTATACATGGGAAATTTAGATTTATCCATTGTTGAAACTAACCTCCCAGGAGCTTCCATTTGGCACTGGAACGAAAGGCTTCCATCTGCTTTACCTCTTCCGGCCGCTCATCCACGAACTCAGCCACCTGTCGGAGTAAGGACACTTGTGTTGAGAAAATCCACAGGATCCGGGCAAGGAGCACTGTTTTTTCAAGAACCTAAAGCTATGACCATTCCCATTCCTAATGTACATGGCACACGCAAGTCCAAAATGGCCATGAAGAAGCATGCAGAAACATGTAGTGGTCCTCAGTTCTGTTTGCCCCATGAGATGTTTATCTGATTGTCCCTGGATAGTTTAATTATAGATCTTTCTCTGACTAATCAATTTTCCTCCAAAGGTGAATTTCTTCATTACAAACCTTCTTTATCAAGCCGCCAGGTACACAACTGCCACGGATAAGCTAAAAGCTAAATTCCTTTTACCTTTTTACTTTTACATTCAGAGTGAAAATACAGGCAGGCTCCCTGTCATGCCTATCACTCCTCAAGGGCTTCAGGCTCATTATGAAACCTCTGTTGTTACAGGTAATCACAATGATAGGTTTTCTTAAATCCAACCAAAAGAAGTCATTAAGAAGTACACAGAATCACAGAATCTTTAAGGGATAATAACACATTTCATATCATCCAAATTCCCAAACAAATCTGGAATCGTCTTGTATCCTTGATAAATTATCACTCACCCACTCCCTCCCTGACAGGGAACCAATTTACTGGCAGTGAACTCATTATGTTACAAGATAGTCCACTGTATTTGGGGGCAGTGCTAGAAAGTCTTCAGTTTTATTGGACCTGTACCTACCCTCCTATAGCTTCTTTCCATTAACTCTAGTTCTGACTCCAGTGCAATTGATCCTCTTTCCACATAACAGACTTTCAAAAACAACTGGCATAATAAATTCTAGTTACAGAGTAGGAACCACATGCCAGGCACTGTGTTTGGGCTTTATTTACATTATCTCACTCAATCCTCAAAACAGCCCTCCAAAGAAAGGTTCAACACTAATAAAGAACAAACTATGACTCAGAGAAGTTAAACAGATTTCTCAATGTCACAAGCTAGCAAGTGGCAGAACTGTAATCCAAACCCAGGTCATAATTCACCTCTATTTTTCTGTTCCCAAGAGCCTACCATCATTCCTCAAGTAACCTAGTTTTGAGATAGGAAAGCACAGGCTTGAATTCAAGCAAGATAAACTGAGATCTAAATCACCAGCTCTGCCACTTAATACTTGTGTAGCCTTTGGCAAATTATTTTCTCTAAACCTCAATTTCCTCATTTGTGGAAAGAGGACTCAAGGTTCTATAAGGATTCAACGAGATAAATCATGTAAGCTAAGCAGCTTGGTACATGGTAAATGCTCAATAAATTATACCCATTATTCCTGTGCTCCCACTGGTATTGTGCTGTTCTAATTATTTTGCCATTATTACTGGTGGTGGTGGTGGTCTTGCAGTGACATTTGAATTCAATAATCAAGATCTGCTTTAACCAGTGTAGAGAGCAGTGGGGCTAACACCTCCCTTGTTCAGGTTTTGAGGCAATCGTAAGAGCAAAAGACAGTATTATAAAGGAAAATTAATAGACTTGATTATATAAAAATTAAAATTTTTAAATGTCAAAAACTTAAAAAGAAAAGGCAACTAATAAAAAAATACCTATGACAGTAAAACAAGTAATATATTCTTATTTGCATAAATATCAAATAAATCAATAAAAAAATTAAGAAGTCCAATTTTCTAAACAATGGAAAAAATGCCAAAAAAAAATACAAATGCCCAATAAACATATGAAAAAAAACTATTCACTATTTTTCAAAGAAACTGGATACCACTGTTCACCTGCCAAACCAACCCAGGTTTGAACCTATGGCTTTTGTTGTTGTAAATAATTCTCTAGTACTGATGAACAAATGGGAAAAATGGCATTCTCAAACAACTCTAGGGAGAATATAAATTGGTACCACCTTTGGAAAGCAATATGGGAATACAGCTCAAAAGGACCATACTTTCTAACCTATTAATTTCATTTGATAGGAATAAAGAAATAAACAGATTTCCACAATGATTTCTCTACAAGATGTTTTTCAAAGCATTATATTTTAAAACAGAAAACCACCCATACATACAGTAAAAGGACAGGTTAAATTAATATATATAATGAATTACCGCTGCAACCATTAAAAGTCATGTCCTCAAAGAGTATTTTAAAATCTTACTAAAGTAGTCACAACATATTATTAAATGAAAGAGCAGGTTCCAGAACCATATGTTCAGTATGATCCCGATTATATTTAAAAAATAAATAAAATACAAGTATGTATAATCTACAAATTAAAGACATATTCCTCCAAATGTTAGCAGTTATTACCTCTGGACAGTCACAGGGTAAGTGATTATTATATTTTTTTCAAAATTTTAAACCCTGTAATTCCCAAATAATCTACAATAAATATGTATTGCTTTTATAACATAAAAAAAACAAATGTTGTAAACATTAATTAGGTTAAGTGACTGGATCTGACTCAAATTAATTGGCCCCTTAGGATCACTATTTCCCTTCTTCCTTTTTTTTTTTTTTTAAGATTTTATTTATTTGGGAGAGAGCAAGAGAGACAGCACACAAGCAGGGGCAGAGGGAGAGGAAGAGAGAGAAGCAGACTCCCTTGCTGAGCAGGGAGCACTACGCAGGGCTAGAACCCAGGACCCTGGGGTCATGACCTGAGCTAAAAGCAGATGCTTAACTGACTGAGCCACCCAGGTGCCCCCCCGCCCTTTTTTTAAAGTAATCTCTAAACCCAATGTGGGGCTCAAACCCAACCCCGAGATCAAGAGCCTCATGCTCCACCAACTTAGCCAGCCAGGCGCCCCACTATTTCCCTTCTAATTACTAATAAACTTTCTCTTAAAAGATGTACTATAGGGGCGCCTGAGTGGCTCAGTCAGTTAAGCAGCTGCCTTCGGCTCAGGTCATGATCCCAAGGTCCTGGGATCGAGCCCCACGTCCAGGTCCCTGCACGGCAGGGAGTCTGCTTCTCCCTCTCCCTCTGCCTGCTGCTCTGCCTACTTGTGCTCTCTCTCTCTGTGTGTCAAATAAATAAATAAAATCTTAAAAAAAAAAAAAAAGATGTACTACAGAATATGCTGGGGACTAACATTGAATATACCCATCTGGAATTCACTTTTACCACCTTTTAGTGCAATACAGCCTATCAACAGCTCTCCTTTTCACCATATTTCTCAGCAAGGTTTCCATGACAGAACCAATGCAAGATTATTTGCCTGTGCTTTTGCCCACTTGGTTCTTACTGGTCCTTCAAAACTCAATTCGGGTATTTACATCCTTAATAGAATTTCCCAGTGTGGGGCACCTGGGTGGCTCAGTGGGCTCAAGTTATGATGCCATGGTCCTGGGTTGGGTCCTGTCGTAGAGCTCCCTGCTCAGCTGGGAATCTGTTCTCCCTCTCCCTCTGCCCTCACCCCTGCCCCGACTTATGTGTGTGTGTTCTCTCTCTCTCAAATAAATAAATAAAATCTTTAAAAAAAAAATTCCCAGTGGAATAAAAAAACGTGCTACCTCTCCAGTGCTCTAAGAGTACTCGGTACATGTGTGAAATGTCTCTCCACCATTTATCACAGTGTTGAAATTTGAAATTCAGTCTCCCATTTAGGGTATGGTCTCTAAAGTACAGACACTAGGTTTTATTAACCTACATATCTACAGTACTTAAACAAAAGTATACAATTTTAGACCGGTTGAATCAATGAATAAAAGGAACAAATAAAAAGTTTCCTTTAATTGAAGCTGAACATTGTTTTTAAGGTACATATCAATAAATTGAACCATGGCTAACTGTAAACATTACAATTAGAAGTCCTGTCTCTCTGGGACTAGTTCCCATTTCTAGGCTAATGAGGCCCTCCATAAACAAAGAAAACAGTCTATAGGCATCATCAAAGAAGACTACTTTAAAACAGATCTTTGAAAAGTGTCACTGCCCTCAACATATATGTATAAATCTACCCTGTACTGGGAATCAAGATTGAGAAGTCCTCACAGCCTCAAAAGATACATACCACAGGCAAATCTCCATCATCATCTTCTTCCTCCTTTTCCGGTTTAGTGGTGGAAATAGATGTCCAGCTCACATCATCATCCACAATCCGCATTCTAAATGTGAAAAATAAATAGATAAAAAAGGAAGAACCATTCCTGGATAACAGACTACAAACACTTTATCTATGGATTTTAGGATAAAGCTCAAAATCCTACAAGATTCTACAAGGTCCAGTCTTTGCCCATAAGGCGAACTTCATCACCTTGTACCACTGCCTCCACAGTTCACTACCTTGCTGGCCATCTTTTGATGTCTGGAATGAGCAAATTCCTTACCACATCAGTTTTCACATATTCAGTTCCTTCCCTCTGCCTGACCTACTCTTCTTTCTTTAATGGGAAACTCTTAAGATTCTTAAGAGTCCTAGCTTATATTTAACTTCCTTGAGCTTCTCCCCTTACCTCCCTCAACCCCTGTTATGCATGCATGGGATACTTTCATTGTATTATTCACAAAGAAAATAAATCAATTGGTTGTGTAATTAGATGTGTAAAGCCTGTATGCCCATTTAACTACAAGATCCACCAGAATAGGGACTATGCCTTCTCATTCACAGTGATATCCTCAACACCCTGAAGTAACTGGCATAAGAAGTACGTATTCAATAAATGTTTGTTACATAAACTATGGATGAGTCCAAATAATTAACAATGACTGCCCTGATGTGAATAGTTGAAAAACCATTATCACTTTATACATCTCTAATCATAACCATAAAGTGATATCATTATTACTCTCATTTTAAAGATGTGGCAACAGTCTTAGATGAAGTATCTTGCCCAAGGCCACACAGCCCACAAAGTGGCACAGCTAAGACTCAAACTCTGACCAGCATTACTCCAAAGCTCAAGCTATTTTCACTACATGGCACTGTCTCCAAAGAATCTACACAAGTTGAAGGGCAGGAAGACAGAAAGCAAGAATAGGCAAGAACCAAACCAGGAAAGGAAATGGCTTTGTTCTTTGAAACTGGGGGTATAGTTCCCTAGCGCTGCCTAACAAAGTACCACAAACTGCGGGGCTTACAACAGAAATATATTCTCTCACAGTTCTAGAGGCTTCAAGTCTGAAATCCAGGCGTCTGCAAGGCAATGCCCGCTGGGAAGGCTCTAGGAGAGGATATTTCCTTGACTCTTCCAATTTCTGGTAGCCCCAGGCATACTCTGGCTAGTGGCAGCGGAAATCCAGTCCAGTCTCAGCCTCCGTCTTCACATGGTGGTTCTTCCCCAATGTCTGTGTCCAAATTTCCCTCCTCTTAAAAGGACACCAGTCATATTGGATTTAGCGCCCATCCCAATCCACTGTGACCGCATCTTAACTAATTATATCTGCAAAGGCACTATTTCCAAAGAAAGTCACATTCTGAGGTTCTGGGTGGACATGAATGGTGAGAGGGGCACTATTCAACCCAGTACACTGGGCTACAAAGTTTTCTCATTCGAAAAACGGGGATAACACCACCACCAACTTCGTGGTAGTATTATGAAGCTTAAAATCATACACGTCTGAAGTACTTAGAACGGCATCTGATACATGACAAGAACTACAAATGTTGGTTATTATTGTTAACAGCATCACTATTAAGAGTAACAGGAAGTAAGCACAGGTCTCTGTCTTAGGACCAGAGTCCCTAGGATTGCTGAACCCCACAGACAGGTTCTGGGCCCTAAATATCCAAACACGGAGGCTTTGGGTGAGCTCCATTATTCTCAGGGCACGACAGTCATTCCCTACGGGAGAGGACGGAACGCTACAAAGGCGGGAAAAGAGTAATGAAAGTTAGAGCCGGCTTGAGAAGGCGAAGATACGGCCCAGGGGAGCGGGTCGCCTGAGCCGGGCTCCAGACGAGCCCCGTGAGAAGCCGGGCGGGCGGCGCGGAGAGCGGAAGCGCCGGCCGAGGGCGGAGCTGGGGAGGAGAGGGGTGGCGAGCCGCCGCAGGCCCCGCCCCGCCAGAACCAACTCACCCCTTCCCGCCGGCCCCGCCGGGCTTCGGCCGCTTTCTGCGACGCTTGCGACCGGAGTCAGGGCCCCCGTCGACGCCGGCACCTGCCCCAGACAAGTAACGCTTCAGATACTCGGCCTTGGACAGCGGCGGAGCTGCCGCCATGGCAGCGGCGAAGGCGGGGAGACGGCTCGGTGCTGGGGACAAAATTCTTGAACGCGAAACGCACGGCGGGGACCCGGAGAGGCGGGGCCGGGACCGGAAGTGGCGAAGAGCGGTGGGAACTGCCCCGGGCCGACAGGAGCGCGCTTTTGCAGGCTCACGAGGAGTGCGCGTACGTCCTGTGCCCACTGCGCGTCCCTCTGCCGGCCCGAACACGTCTTGTGTTTGTCCATCTATCTACCCCTCCAGCTTATGATGCAGCTCCAGAAGCACCAATGTCGTTAAGAACGTGGGTTCTGGAGTGACAGTGTATCTAAGCTTGAGTCCGGGCTCGAAAGTTCCTACCTGTAGGACCTTGGGCAAGTTATTTAACAAACTGGGGAGTATAATGGTACCTAACTCAATGCTTGCGAGGAATGATACTTTTACTGTGTGAAGTGCTTAGAACAGCGTCTGGCGCACAGTATATACCAGTTATTTGTATTCGTATGTGTTTAGGTTGGGGGGTAGAAACTGCTCTAATAGGCTAAGTACCATTCAAGAGAGGAAATCAGGAATTGCAAACCCAATGTAATTACTATGAAAAAATAGGTTTCTATCCTGTGAACTTCCCCACGTTTGATGGAATAGGTAGCCTCTAGCTACCTTTTGCCTAGGATCTTTCCAATGAAAAGGACCTGGCTCTATTTTCAAAAAACAGGGAAGCAAGAGAGGTTGAATTCTAATTCTCAAGTTTTGGAGGGCGGGGAGACGGAGGGCAGAGACACTACTTTTCTTCTTGTGAACATGAAGAGTTTTACATGAATTACCTCATTTAACTATTAAAATTCTCAAGTGCTTTTATTATCGTGTTTTACAGATGAGAAAACCAAAGCCTGGAGAGGTTAAGGAAGTCGCCCAACTTCACACAGCCAAAACGGGACCCTTGGAGGCAGAAGCTAGCAAAGTGAAGTTCAAGAGGTAAAAACGAAGTTTGTGAAATAAAGTATTAGATCGAATATGTCCCGTATCTCAACATGTTACATTTTTGCCACTGTTTGAAAGCATATTAGTCAAGAAGGCTTGTTACACTTTATAAGTGCTCAGAATTTAATACATGCTCAAAAAATATTTATATAGCACTGGGTGTTATATGGCAAACAATGAATCATGGAACACTACATCAAAAACTAATGATGTAATGTATGGTGATTAACATAACATAATAAGAAAAAATAGAACAAAAAAATTTATATATATTAAAACAGGTGAGGATGTTACAGCCCTGACCCGTGAACTTTCAACGTCTGGGTTATCCTGACTGGTCGAGCTCAGGCCCAGGAAGGAAAGCAGACTGGGTTGGGTCTCTGAGGGCTTGTGGGGACACTGAACTGATACAGGGCTTCACTAGCTGGAGGGCCCCAGAGGTCCTCCAGACACAACCCTGTGTTGGCTTCCAGTCCACTTTGGTGAATCTCAAACTGAACTCCAAAGCCCTGCCTCTACTACCCTGCTGTCAGCAGGCATTTGAAAACCTCATCTTTCTGCTCCAGTGAACATTACCAGTACCCTCAGCCCCATCAACCCATCTCCTGCCCATTTGTCTTGAGTTCCACCACTCCCCTTTCAAATCAACACCCAACCTTGGCCTGACAAGACCCACGCTCAGGGGGTGCCTGGGTGGCTCAGTCGGTTAAGCGGCTGCCTTCGGCTCAGGTCATGATCCCCGGGTCCTGGGATCAAGTCCCACGTCCCGCTCCCTGCTCAGCGGAGAGCCTGCTTCTCCCTCTCCCTGCCACTCTGCCTACTTGTGCTCGCTCCGTCAAATAAATAAAATCTTAAAAAAAAAAAAAAAAAGACCCACGCTCAGATCCCAACCCTGTGTACCTCATAGGGTGGCACTGAGCTTTGCCCTCTACTTGTTAGCTGCATCTAATAAAGCAAGTGCAGGAACTATGGATTTGACCTCAAAAGTTCACTTTAAATTCCATGAACAAGGGCTTTATTTTGTTCAGTTCTGTGGTGTACCTGGCACAAAGTAAGCACTCAAGTATCTACTGAAGGAATGAATGAAATGCCAGCTCCGATCCCCAAATTGACTACACTGGGGAAAATTTATTCAGGAGGTTGAATTCTACTAGCATGGTATCAAATAAGGACAGAGTGAATTCAGAGGCCAGTCCTGATGGAAAGCCACCACTTTAATGAGAGCTGCTTTTCCTGTGCTGGACTCCCTCCCTCAGAAGACTCTTTTCCTGTTGAAAGCCAGTATTTTATATTCCCCAGCCAACTCCCAAACTCCAGATGTAGCTGTCTTCCATCTTCAGAGTTCCAACCCTAGAGAGAGCATTATGTGGAGGGAGGGTAAAGAGGTGACAGGAAAAAAAGGGATAATGACATGCCCCATGGTTCATTTCTGGGTTTCTTCCCAGGCCAATTCAAAACCTCCAAAATACAGTCAAGTAAACAGGCTTGCACTTCCATCACAAACCGTTCACAAAACTGCCCACATCTCTCAGACCACATGGGGGCTGAGGATACCCCCAGCCTTTCCCGACAGTAATAACCCTTCAGTCTAAGCAGCACTGGAGGCTGGCTCGGAAACTACCCGTCACTACCGCTGTGGGGCCAGGCCTGTCTCATAGCCCTCTGTCTTCATGTCATTGAGCCCTAGCTCCTCGTTTTGGTCAAATGTGCGCTTATAATGCTCCACCTTCATCTGAGGATCATCTTCAGGTGCATACAAATTCTGCAAGGCCAAGGACAGACAATCAGTGCCTGTGCCACCCAGCTACCTGCCCCCCCCCACCAGGTGGCTTCCAACTCCCACTTTCTCAAAAACTTAATGTTTTTTATTCTAAAGGCCTCCAATTCCCCATAGCTAGGCTCCACTGGAAAGCAGAAATAGAGCCCAACAGAGTCCCAGGAATGGGACCGTCCAGCCCTAGGCAGAATTAGGGAACAGTCTGCCTAAAAAACTTCCTAACTGCACCTTCTTATGATAGTCTTAATCACAGAGAGACCTTAAACAGTTTTGCCTGACCAATAATAACTGCCCAATAAATATTCAAGTTATTATAAATCACCAGAATATCTCCCCAGTCAGCTGAAAGCCTCTCCAGTTTCCTATTTCAGCCTCTGGACAAGGCACCATTTCTCCTCACTCCACAATTAGATTTTCAAAATGACAACTCCATTGCTGGGGACAAGAGCTGGACTAGAGAGAGGAAGAGTCAGGGAGTATCTTTTTTCCCCTCTCGACACACACTTATAATCCCTCCCACCTCCCCCTATACTTCCTTATGTTTCAAATTCTAAGGTTTCTTCATAAAGAGCAGTTCATTCAGAATCAAGTCTCCAGTTTCTGGAGAAATAACACATATTCAAAGGTCAGAAAATATATCTCCGTGCACTATCAGGAAAGGTCTTCTGTACCTGAAGGTAGCTGTTTCCTGCTGGATCATTCATAATGAAGTGGGCCTTCATGTTACCCTGAACGATCTAAAGGAGGGAGAACACAGCACATAAATTTTACATAGCTCATGGTAGGAAGGGGCTGTGTCTGCCAGACAAGGACCAACCCAATTTACATGGCAGAAACCCCAGAAGTTTCAAAAACTGTTGAAATGAGGTACCTCTCAAAGTCGAGTGAAGAAGACCTAAAATAAGGACCGTATGAAACCTACTTAAGAAGCAACCTGACATCCCCACCCCCTCTCCATTGCACACAGGCCAACAAATGCCCTTCCCCCACCCCAGCAGAAAACTGCAGGAATCCGTGGAGAAGCCCCCACCACTGCTGGCTAAGGCCTAGGGGGCGCCCGCCCAGTTGAGGGTGGAGGGAAAGGCAGCAAGGACAGGAGGTTAAGTGAACATGTTGTTATTGTAAACAGACATACACAGCCAGCTCTTTTCCCACACACAGCTCTCAGAACACCAGCAGCCAAGTCCTCCTCCTCAGGCCAGGAAACAGAACACCCGCTGATGGGAATCTGAGCAGCCCAAGAGGAAAAACCTAAGGACTCTGGCACAGGGGTTACCTCCACAAAATGGCTAAGCTAAATCCCCCTACAATGAGCCCGACGTAAGATTCAGCTCCACTCCCCTGTTTCAGTCCTCTACTTTTAAATTGACAATCCACGACTATCAAGACATGTGAGCAAAGCCCCAACCTTGAAAGACAAAGTTAAATGGAAAAACAAAAACAAGCAAAAAAAACCAACAACCCAAGCAAACAAAAACCAAGTTAAAAGGAAATGGAAACTATGCAAGGAAAATAAAACATCAAAAAAAAGAAAAACCAACATTAACATTCTCAAGAGAAAAAAAAATACCACATCCTTAAAACAACAGGATGCTATTTAGCAAAGGAAGGAGGGAGAGTACTCAAAGACCAAAAAAAAAGCTCTTGGAAAAGAAGTCAGTGGAAATGAAAAACCCAACTGAAGCTACTAGAGAAGAGACTCCCACAACATAAGGGAGAAAACCAAGAAAGAGAACATGGGATATCAGAAACCAGGGGAATCCCCAATGTTGGTTAGATGTTCAGAAGGTGGCAGGACAGGGCAGGTGGCCTCTTGCCCACTGGCACCCCAGGACCACAAGTACTGAAGGGCCAGAATCATCTCACCTGGTCTAACTTCCGGCTAAACTCCTGCAGTTTCTCCATCTGGCCAGGATTGGAACTGTCACCCAGTGTGAAAGGGTTCTTGGTCACCTGCAATAAACGGCATCCAAATTGCTAAAATACTGGCTGTTTCTTAGGTTTGACCATAAAGCTGGTGGGAAATGGCAGGAGGGTGCCCAGCCAGGGAAGCTCAGTCTCCACACCACCTTTCTGACCTAGGTAACCACTGCTAAGAGCACAGAGATTAATCTGCCAAGATGACAACTGGCAATATAAAACAAAAACTATAAAAATGTCCTTCCGGGGGAACTCTAGTTCTCATTTGAAGAAGAAATGCAAAGTAAAGTGTAATTTACAAAGACAAAATGCCTGACAACTGGGAATCAATTAAGTGAAATTATTCAAGAAAACAAATATATGGGCTAAGTCAACACACAAATATATATGCTGGGGAGTTTCAGGGGCTGGAACGACCCTCCTCCCCTCATTTTACAGTGAAATAAGTGGCTTACCCAAAAACCACAAAGTATCTACATTGTCCCAGAGGCAGGACTGGAGTTTCCATTCAGAATTTCCCATAAACTTATCTTCACAATCCAAAATACTATTTAAATCTTTCAAATCAGCTTTAAGGCAAAGAAACACCCAGTTAACAGCTCCAAAAACTAGGCCATGTGAGGCCTTCTAGCCCCTTGCCCACAGCCACATTGCTGAAGCACCCGTGCACTACACTCGGGCCACTCACCAGTTCCTGGATGTCTTTCAGTAGCCCCTCCAGTGTTGTGAACTTGCCCCCGAGGATGGCCATTCCCAGTTCAAATTCCAGCTCTGGGATTTCCACACTACACGTCTCAGACTGGGAAATGAGAGATCAAATTAAGCTTTAGATCAGGAGTCTCTTCGAGAAAGCTAACCCGAATTCTCATGCCAAATTAATACCACTGCTGACAGTTTGGGGAAAAAGTCAGCTGCCCCAGTCTTCTCGGACTCTCCAGCTAAAGCTACACTCATTCCTATCCATGTGAACCACAGAAATGGAATCAACCTAATAAAGGGACATTCTGAGTCATGGCTCCAAGCTGCCAGATATCCTGTCATTAGAGGCCAGAGACAAGGGCCCTTACAGACACTGGAGGCAAAAGCTGCCAAGTCATCAGAGAGTTTTTGGGTCACCTTCTGAATGTGTACTTCCTACCATGGATTAACTCTGCTATCCTGAAACCCAGGGAAGTAAGGAGGTACCCCACAACTCCAGGATATAATTTTAAAAAGACAATTTCCCCTACATAGAGACAGCCCATGTGAGGAAGACGGACACTTTCCCAAGCATGGTGTTACCTTGAGCACATCTCTGGTCAGATCTAAAGGATCTGTGATATGGAAGGTGAGCTTGGTACCCAAGGGCTCTACTGCTCCTCCAGATTTCACCTGCACAGACAACAGTAGTCAGGAACAGCAGCAGAGAAGATTCTGATCCTCACCTGGTATCAGGGAGACCTCAGAGGATGGGCTTACACCTCCAATCAGGCCCCCTTACAGCTACCAAGGACAGAGCCTTCTAAACCAACAGTGGCAGCAGGTCACCCAAACCAGAAATGAAGAGCTGGCCAAGAGCCTGCCAAAACTTTCCCCAATTGCCAACAAACTCTGAACTTACCTTTTTTAAAAAACTGACTCTTGTGATTGAAAGGGACTTCCAACTGCATCCAACACATAGATGCACCTTATAATATTCTGGGTTCAGAATTTAAACAGTGTATGCTTGAATACACTCGGGGAAAGGTAATTTACAACGCTCCAAGGCAACCCGTTCTATTTACAGAGAGATCTAGAAAGTTTTTTATTAGAGTCAAAATCTGCATCCCCACACTTCCAATCCTCTGACAGGTGAATCAAACAGAGAGTCTCAAAAAAAAAGGGGGGGGGGCACCTCCCTCTTCCATATACCAATCTTTAATGTCTTAAATGTATTATGGTATCTCTAATTCTACTTCACTAATTCCCAGTTCCTTCAAGGGCTCCTCACCCTGCACTACATCCAAGAGAAAGACCCAGCTTCCTCCCACCTCATCCCAAAGCAGATTTAGGAAGGATCAAAGTTAAACAGGGGTTACCCTCATCTTAGTCATCTTCCCAAACAATGGAGCCCACCCACCTCATTGGTCCGATGGCCGCAGTTCTCGCAGTTGGTAGCCATGATGATAACCTCCTTAAAGTGGGGGATTTCTGGAGGACGGAGGTAAAGAAATTTGCTTCCAGGAGAGCAAGACCACCTTCTGGGGAAGAACAAACCCAAACCCTAAAAGTACAGTTGCTAGTCCTAGGACTATAGGAAAGAAATCACAAGAAGCAGCCTAACTCAGATAGTCCTCCAGAAGAGGGCAAGGTTGCAACCCATGGCAATCCTTGTTCACAAATATTGGAAGACATGACTCAAGCCAAACACAGGACCCTAGAAACCAGAGCCTAATTCTCCCTTTGAACCCAAAAGCCAATGTACACAGTCTCATCAAAGGCAACACCTTCCTCATCACTGCGCTTTCCTTGAAGGGAGTACTCCGCAGCCTGCATATAATCTTCATGCCCGAGTCAGATGAAGAGCAACCCAACTGCCTGACAAAAGATACGAACTAGCTTCATGTTGGTCTGAGCCGGAGCACTGCATTCTGGACAGTTTGTGTTGAACTGCAGCACCTGGAACACAACATGGGGACGAAGGGTGAGACCTGCTCAGGCTCCAGACATTCAGTTGGTATGCTGGTGGTTGCCTGTGTTGATGGTGAGGGAGAGACTGAGCAGCATCAGTCTCTGCCCACAGCTGTTCCTTCCTCCACAGCAGCCAACAGACTCACTTCGTTTCTGAGATCCTCCTCTTCTGGCTTCTCTTCTGGTGGTGCCTCAGCCTAGCATAGCAGAAATACAAATCATACGTTGGCACATATACCTCAGCCTCCCCAAAAGCCTGCCTTGGAGTGAGAGAAAAGACTCTGGTTTGCTTATATCAGGTGCCACCTCATGGGTTTAACAGAGAAAGTAGGAAGCAAAGCCCCAATCCAAGGAAGAACAGAGCTTAAGATAGGATCACAGCCACTGCCAACTTTTATTGTAAAGTTTATCTTAAGTCTTGGGGCACCTGGGTGGCTCAGTCATTAAGCGTCTGCCTTCGGCTCAGGTCATGATCCCAGGGCTCTGGGATCAAGCCCCGCATTGGGCTCCCTGCTCAGCGGAAAGCCTGCTTCTCCCTCTCCCACTCCCCCTGCTTGTGTTCCCTCTCTCGCTGTGTCTCTCTCTGTCCAATAAATAAATAAAATCTTTAAAAAAAAAAAAGTTTATCCTAAGTCTTGATAGGAGCTAGATGAGATGCACAAACATGCAGAGATAGGGTACACAGGGCAGCAACGACAAAGTAAGATTCCACTGATTCCAAGCAATCCAGAAAGCAAGATAATGCCAGAGCAATCTTCTGGCTTCTTCGGTCTACTTACCTGGAGCCCCAGCATCTCTTCCTGCTGTAGAGTCCGATTATAGTGTGTGATCACGAGGGCATGATCTTTCTGGGGAGCATGGGGGTTTTCCACAAAGCTGTTCCCTGAGGGATCATCAATGATCTGACAGATGGGCGAAGAAGGAGTAATTACAACAAGAAATCACATATGATCCTCCGCCTACCATGAGACCTCTTGGGCACCACAGTGGAAAAATCCCAGACAGTCTTAAGGGTCTCTCCGCCCCTAAATCTAGCACCTAGAGTTCCTCAATACTCACCAGAGTGAAAGGAGAGGCCACTTGCTTTAGCTCTTTCAGTTTGACAATAAACTCATCAATTCTTTCAGCTATGGCTTCTTCATTTGCCTGATAGGAAAAGATAGTAAAAAGATAGTCATGGGGCTCCCCAGCCCTGGTGACAGACTTTATGCCCCTACTCCCTGTCACGTCCACGTCACTTCCATCAGAAAGTCACCACCTGTCTCAGTCTAAGTAGGAACAGAGAGACTCAGACTTCACAATAAATATAGTAAATAAGTTTGAAGTTCATGGGTTGTGCCAAATTAGCTTCATTTTCTCACCATTCAACCATTTCGGCCAGGCTCTCATGCCAGGTTAGAGACACAACAGTAAATAAACTAGAGTCCTCTCATGGGGCTCCCCAGCCAGTTAGGAAGACAAATGACTAAATATGTAATTATATTACTTCTGTCATAATAAATATATGGTACAATGGAACACTCAGGAAGTATAGATAAATCCAAGGGCATTAGGAAAGGCTCTTCAGAGATAATGTTATACCGCCTGTCTGATAGAAGGTCTGAACATACACTGGGGAAAGGGAAGTGGAAAGGATGGGAGACAGAACATGGGCAACATCCTGGCAGCGACAGCATCACCGTGTGTCCCTCAAAAGTTCTCCAACATTCAGAGATGGCTCAGCTACACAAGAGGCTGAACACTCTCTTCAGACATAGATTGGTCGTTATGCCTTGAGCTGCTGCAATCAGAAAATCCCAACTCACCCTTCGTGCGGGCTGATCCTGCTCCAGGCCAGAGACAGCACGACTGATCAGTCCTTCAACAGTGGTCAGAGCTAGTGAATAAGAACAAAAGACACGTAAGTCTTGACTATGCTATCAAGTGCCTGTATGACTCTGAGCAATTCACTTGGAGCTCCCTGGGCTTTGATTTCAACTATAAAATGAGGAGGCCTGGGGCGCCTGGGTGGCTCAGTTGGTTAAGCGACTGCCTTCGGCTCAGGTCGTGATCCTGGAGTCCCAGGATCGAGTCCCGCATCGGGCTCCCTGCTCAGCGGGGGGTCTGCTTCTCCCTCTGACCCTCTTCCCTCTCGTGCTCTCTCTCATTCTCTCTCAAGTAAATAAATAAAATCTTTAAAAAAAAAATAAAATAAAATGAGGAGGCCTGGAACAAGGCTCCATTCATCTCTAATAACAGTGATGCTAAGACTCTCTAATAAACACATTACAGCCTTACTAACACATCTATTGTCTCAAGCTGTTTTATCTAAGCTTTCTGTTTACTTTGAACCAAGGAAGGTCACAGTGATAACATGGCCAAACCCATACACTAGCCACCAGACCTGGCACCTGGGTTTTTGCAAGAAAGTAAGATTGCAGCCAGGCATGAACAGCCCAAATACCCTGACCTTATACCTACCTCCCTTCTGACTGAAAGCAGGAATTTCAAAATCCAGCTCCGGGATCCTTGTGGTGGCAGAGTCCGTTTTCACCACTTCTCTGTTCATGTCCTGGGCAGAAAGAAAAACTTTCAGTCCAGAGAGGTCAGCAGTACAGCTTCTCAGGAAATACCAGACCCAGCCTAGAAGTTTCTTTCTCTCTCCATTCCAGGGGGTACAGACTACTCCTGCCGAACAGGACACCTGTGAAGCCAGCTGCCCAAATCGTGAGAGGACTACTGAAAACAAGTACTGCTCATCTGATTCCCTCTGATAAAATGTAATTACAAAGCACTTTCACAAGCCTTATCTCACCTGAGCATCTGACAGCATCAACCCCACTTTAGGAAGGAGGAAACTGAGGCTTGGGCTTGGGGAATAAATAGGAGTATTTACTCGAGGTCGCACGAGAGCTCTGACTCCGGTCCCCAAGCCTTCTAGAGGACACTAGACTGCTCTGGGGTCCTCTCACCTCCTGGGCCCTGACGGTCAAAGTGTAGCGCACTCCCTGATCCTGGATCCTGCCGGCCGACTGGATCTCCGTGTTGCTCCAGCCACAATGCTCACAGGAAAAGGAGCTCACAATTATCTCTCTGAAGAAAGGGATCTTGGTGAGCAGGAGGCGCGTCGTGCCCTGTGGAAGCAGAAAGCAGCTAGGAAGCCCCAGTTCCCCGTCTACTGACCCCGGGGCGTGCCTCGCCTCCGGGTCCCCAACTGGGCCCACCTGGACGGGTCGCCCACCCCACTTCGGCCCAACCTCCCGCCGCCCCGGGCCGGGCCCCCGCCTTACATTGCAGTAACAGTTCATACACAGCGACTCGATCTCGGTGGGCTGCTGCTCCTCGTCCTCGGCGCTGATAGGCCGGAACAAGTGCTCGGGGGCTGGAGCCCGGGCCGCGGCGGGCGAGGGGGCGGCAGTAGCCGCCGGGGTCCCCGGCTCCACAGGCCCGCTGACCGCCATGATCAACACGCGCAAAGCATGCCTCCACTTCCGGCTTCCGCTCCTCTCGTGGCCCCACCCCTTCCTCCGGCACTTCCACCAGCTGCCGCCCCGCCCTTTCTTAAAGAGGCCGCAGACTCTGGGCCCTGGAGAACTGTGTCTGACAAGGTTTCCGTATTGCTGGGATTCTATGGTCCAGACTTCGAAAGCCAGCCTGATTCAAGCTTTGCCTGCACCTCAGTTCAGGCGTTACTTCCCCCAGAACGTCCTCTCAGACCCAGGGCACTGTTTCGCTTCTTCACAATAGCTCCATTCTACAGGGTTCTAACCATTGGTCCATAAATCTGACTACAAGACACTTGATGGCAAGGGGCTTGGCTTGTCCCTCGTACCCCTGAAGAGGTCCGCTCCGACCCCGGTTCAGGTTCCCATCCACTGTTGGGCCAGACATTGCTTCGGCTCTTGATCCCCCTCCCTCAGTCACTCAAGCATTCTCTCCCTTTCTGTTCTCACTCTTTATTTCTGCCCTCATAAACAAGTGCCCAAATTCCAGCCTCAAATACACAGCCCTCATTTTTACTCCCACCCCCACATCCCAAGCACATCAAACCCCAGCTGACTCACCCCTCACAGTTTCCTAACAACAACAAAAACACCTCTTTTTGTGGTAAACTTTCCTTTCCAGTATCTCCTCTCCCTGGGCACCTCTCACCCAGTTCAGTTGCTAAATCTAGGGTGTCAGGGAAGAGATCCAGCCTGCAGGCATGATTAGGCCAGATTCATATGGGGTGCTGAGAACCCTGTGTGGGGCAGGCTGCGAGCGGAGGAAAGGGTGCTGGACAGGGTGTATTTACCCTTTCTTCTCCCTCTCCCCAACTTCACCCATCCCCAATTTCACAGTTCCTAGGGGGATCTATGAAGACCTCTGCCGCCCCCAAGTGAGTCTGTATATGGGGAATTGTGGAGTTTAAGATTTGGAGTTCTCAAGAAGAGGGTCAATCATGAGGAGGCCATTCACAATCTGGAACCGCAGGAACAAAGGAGACAGGCCACCTCAGGAGTCTGCACTTCATGCACACTGCCCTGTGATAAGGTTGACGAGCAATGCAGGTGCAGAGGAAGGGTCTCTAAGCCAGGCCCACACCCAGGCATGACAGACAGCTGTCATCTAAGGCAGAGTCTAGCCAGAGCCAGGACCCTCTGGCAGACCTGGATTGGGAGAGGGTCCCTGAGACAGAGCGTTGAGGGACTGGAACGAGTGATGGGTGTGCTTTGGGTATAGCGGTGAGGCCACTGCTTTCAGACATGGCTCCAATAAGGGTCACACCAGGCAAATAATCTTCCACCATATGCCTCTATTTTATGAGTCAGAAGTCTAGACTTCAGCCAGGGAGTCAGAAGTGAGGGGTCCCAGATGGACAGGACATACAGTATGCTTCCCCCGAGGCTTTAAGAAGCCCCCACAGTTTGGAGGGCTTGGTCAGCTGTTTAGATGTAGAGCGATGTAAGAAAATGCAGGCTCTGCTCCTTCCCATCCCAACCCCCACCATTTGTACCCACCAGCATCAGAGCCAGCAGAGATATATGCACACACCTTCACACACTCTTATCATATTTTCTTCCCTTCTCCCTTCTCTTCCCCCAACAGAAGCTGTCATGGCGGCCCTGGGGAGAAAAGAGCTCCTCTCCCATAGAGCAGCTGTAGCAGTAGCCACCAGGCGGCCAGAACTGATCAGAGTCAAGCCCCGGGAAAAAGAAGCACAGGCTTCCAGCACCATGGCAACAGGCTTGCACTGCACATAATTACCTGCACATAAAGTGCCTCTCTCCCTCCCCACTCCCACCATCCCGGAATGGAGCAACTCATGAGGATTCCCAAATGAACACGGGAAGCTGGGTTTGCAAAGCCTGGTGAGTGTAATGCATCCGGATGGGGGAATCGCAGGAGGCTGGATATGCCAGGGACAACAGTCCCTTTGGTGGCCTCGCCTATCCTGTGCAGGGCCCTCCACCCTCTGCCCAACAGGCCACTGTCAAGGACTGAGCCACGCCAGGGGCTCAGATCCTGGGCTCAGACAAGGAGCCGAGAAGTGAGCCTGGATCAGTAGACCCTCAGGGCTCTTCTAGATGGCTGAGACCACGGTCATGGAGGCTGTCGTTGATGTCTTCCCACAGGTCTTCCAGACGGGCCTGCAGCTTGCTCCGGGCCTCGCTGCTGTCAGCTTGGAGAAACTCTGGGGCGAAGGCACTGTGACCTGGAGGGGGCGGCGCCAGCTGCAGCTGGACCTCCTCGGTCTCCTGGTCAATGGCACGGGTGAAGTCGGCGATCTGCACGAAGGTGTCGTGGCGGAAAGCCTGGAGTCGCTGGCGCACCTCCTGGGATAGCATCTGGGGGCCGGAGTTGGCCCCTTCCTCCGCGCCGCCAGCGCCGGCGCTGGCAAAAGCGCTGAGCTCTTCCAGCAGCTGGTCCAGGTTCTGCTGGATGCGCGCGTGCAGAGCCTCGGCCTTGAGCGTGAGCTTGCGCGAGAGCGTCTGCACGCAGCGGCTGAGGCGCGCGGAGCTGGCGGCGGCGTGCGGGGCCACGCTGCGGTGCAGCTCCTGCACGTGGCGCCCGATGCCGGTCACCAGGCGCTGGGCGTAGGGGTGGAAGAGCTCCCTGACGCGGCCGGTGTGCTGCACCACGCGGGTCTGCAGCTCCTGCAGCAGGCCCCGCGCCTCGTCTACGCCGCCCAGCAGCTGGGCCTTGGTGCCCTCTCCGACCACGCGCAACTGCTCCTGCAGCTCCTGAACGCGCCGCGCCACCTGCTCCATCAGCTCCACGGTGTAGGGTTTCAGCTGCCGCCGCAGGCCCTCCAGATTCCAGCCCACTTGCTGGTGCGCCTCGGCCATGTAGGGCTCCAGGCGCGCCCTCACCTCCGCCAGTTCCTCCTGCAGCTGCTGGCGCATGCCCTCGGGGTCGTGTGGGAGCCCGGGAGGCTCCCTCCCCTGCCCACTGAGAGGGCCCAGCTTTTCCAGGAACTTGTCCATATTGCTGAGGTCTTGCTCAAGGCTGTCTTTCAGGCTCCTGGGGAAGGGACAGACATCCAGACCATCGTGCTGCTGGCCCCACCATCACCAGAGACATCACTCACTGATCTGGGGGAAACCAAGGATGCAGGGCGGTGGCTCTAGTCCAGGGCACTAGTCCTAGCTGCGGGCCAACCACACAACTCCTCACACACAAGTACAAACACATGGCACGTGCAAATCCAGACCAACACTGCCCAAGGAAACACAGATGCATCTGGACTCTCAAAGTGTCCTTTCATTCTGGGGGCACGGTGGGGGTCCCCTCCACGGCTCCCAGGTCCCACACCTCAGTGCGCAGGGGGCAGCAAATCAGGGTGTCGGTGGGGGTGCTGCTGTGGGCAGAGGGGGCTGCACAGCCCAGGAAGGGCAGGCATGCGGCAAAACTAGCACAACTCTGTTCCTCTGTCCCAGTGAGGACTATGGAGGTTGAGGAATCAGAGGTCGCACACCACCCCACTGCTCTGCTCAGCTGTCTCCTCCCTGCACCCACACCCCTTGTCCTAGCCACTCACGTGGGTTCCCATGTCAGCTTCTGCTGCTGGACCCGCGCCACCTTGCTTTTGTCCCCGCTGCTCTGGCTGAAGTAGTCCCAGAACCCTTTCTGTGTCTGGACAGTTGCAAATGCTGTGGAGAGGGATGGGGTGGTTAGAGGCTGGGTCTCCCCCCCTCAGTCCAGCCTCCACCCACACCTCCGCATTGAAGTCAGGGCTGGAGACCCACCTGAGAGCAGAGCCAGAGCCCAGGTCAGAACTGCAACCATGCTTGCTGTTGTCTACTCAGGAAGAAGGCGAACCGAGGCCCAGTTAAGGTGAAGAAGCAAAGGAAGGACATCTCCCAGTTTTGCCCCAGGGGGCCCTGCTCCAGGGCCAACCTGCCCAAAATCTGTTAACCTTTCCCTGAGATATGCGGAGCACAGGGCTGCCGGGGCTGATGAGGACTGATCTAGGTGAGCATGGCTGGGAGGGACAGGGTGTTTTGGGGAGAGGGGGGCTTTTTTTTTTCACCTGGATCACACATATGGAGTGTGGAGCTCAAACTGCTTTGTAGAGTTTCCCCCACCACCCTCCCGAGACCTCACGAGCAGCTCCTTCGGCCGCTTCTGCCATCACTCCCTTGCTCACCTCTCTTCCTGCCTCCCACTCTGCAACTGGGAAAGCTGAGGGATCCCAAGGGAGAAAAAGCAACTCTGCCAAAGTGCTCCAAGAGGATGTCCTTACTTCTTAGTTCCCACCCCAAGAAGCCCAAGAGCTCTCTGCTGAGACCCCTGCAATCCCCTCCCTGAGGAATCTGACCCGCACCCCTCTACCCAGCACCCGCTCACCTGCTCAGTTCTGGGCACAAAGAGCAGACATTCGGCTTTATACTCCAGGGACCTGGGCCTCTGGCAACAATTGCCCTGAGTAAATACCACGTGGAGGTTCAAAGAAGGCTGACCTCAGCTGCCTCCCCAAGGCTCACTTCCTGCCCTTCCCTGGCACCCAGAGGGTTAATGAGCGCCCTGGTATCAGGGGGCTGCTTCAGCAGAAAGGTCCTGCCTGGAAAGATTATCAAGGAGTAATCTGAACTCCTCACCCAGTTCCCCCCAAGCCCCATGACCTTCACCCTTCCCACTGAGCAGCTGGCTGGCCCACCAACAGAGGAAAGCCTATCTGCTGAGGGCCCTGCTCTTAGCCCAGAGGCACCGTGCCCTAGCCAGACAGGGACAGGGTCCAGGGGCCAGCCTGAACCTGAGCGGCTCTTGACAGCTTCACTACAGGCCCCTCAGGCAGCCTGGGAAGAGCCAGCATTTATAGGGTTAAGGGTGCTCCCATCTTCCACTTTATGAAATAATCCAGGAACTCAGGGAAGTCAGATGTGACAGGGTGAAGGCCGTGAGAGGCATCAGGGCCAGGGACTCTGGGCCCAAAGAATTGGAGCAAGAGGAGGATTCTTCCCACGGGAAAAGCTGAACTGCACCCCCAGGGCCTCTGAGGAGGGGAAGCCCAAGAGCCGGGACTCTCGACGACACGCCCACTCCATGTACTTAAACATACATTCAGGAAATCCTGATTTTTACTCCTGAATGTATCCTGAATCAGTCCCCTGTCTTCCATTTCCACTACCAGTCACATCACAGCTGCGTTTGCTTCCCGTCTTGATCACGTGCATAGCCTCGGACAGGTGTCTCTGCCAAAGTCCAGCCTACTCTGTGCGTCCTCTGCGGTGGCTCTGCCGTAGCTCGTCCCAGCCCATTCCGGTCTCATCTCCTCCCACACAACACCCTTGGCCTTCCCTGAGCATGCCATCTCTTTCAAGACCCTGAGCCTCCCTACATGCTGCTCCCTCAGCCCGAAATAGCCTATCCCTTGGGGAACTTATATTCTTTTTTTTCTTTTTTTTTTTTTTTCAGACTTGGTTTGAATTAGTTAGAATTGCCATACGATCCAGCGATTCCACTTCTGGGTAGATAACCAAAGGCATTGAAAGCAGGAATTGGAACAGATATCTCTACTTCCCTGTTCCCAGCAGCACTATTCACAATAGTCTAAAGGGGAAACGGCCCCAAGTGCCCATCGGCAGATGAGTGGATAAGCAAAATGTGGGATATGTACACAATGGAATATTATTTAGCCTTAAAAGGGAGGAAAGTCTGACACACGTTATAACATGGATGGATCTTGATGGCATTATGCTGGGTGAAATAAGCCAGAACAAAAGAACAAATCTTGTATAAGTCCACTTAAATGAAGTACTTAAAATAGTCAAAGGCAAAGGCAGAAAGTAGATTAGAGGTTACCAGGGGCTGGGAGAGGCAGGAAAAAGAGATACATTATGTTTAATGGCACAGAGTGGGTGGTTTCTCCATCTCATGCGGGTGGTTTCTGCATCTCATGGTCATGAGATCAGGCCCTGCATTGATTGGGCTCAGTGCAGAGTCTGCTTGAGATTCTCTCTCCCTTTCCCTCTGCCCCTCCCACTCATACTCTCTCTCTCTAAAATAAATAAATAAATAAATAAATATATCATTTTTTAAAATGGCACGGAGCTTCTGTTTGGGAAGATGCAAAAGTTATGGAGGTGATGAGTGGTGCTAGCTGCACAACAATGTGAATGTACTTAATGCCACTGAACAGTTGTTGCACTTAAAACCGATAATTTCTACGTTATGCATATTTTACCGTATTTTTTTAAAAAGTATTTTCGGTATTCTAATAGTTTTTGCAGGGGTTATGGTATAAAATGCAGCTGCACTATAGTGTCTGTAAATTGGTATCATCACCACCCCTTCTTTTTTTAAAAAGATTATTTATTTATTTGAGAGAGAGAGTGTGTGTGCAGGGGGAGGGGCAGAAGGAGAGGGAGAGAGAAAATCTTAGGCAGACTCCCTGCTGAGTGCAGAGCCTGATGCTGCGGGGCTCCATGCGGGGCTCGATCCCATGACCCTGAAACCCTGAGACCAAGACCTGAGCCGAAGTCAAGAGTCGGACCCTCAACCAACTGAGCCACCCAGGCGACCCTCATCACTACACCTTCTCAGGTCTTGTCGGTAATGCAGAAGAGACACCTGGAACCGTATTTCCCAGAATCCCCTTCCCTCTCTGGGCCTAGGTTAGAGTCAGTCAGTATGACAGACAAGAGGGGAGACGGTTATTTTCCTTGGTTGTTGCAGGCAGATGCATAGGCAGACAGACTTGGGGTTTAAGGCAGCTTCTGGATGACCTTCTTAAGAATCACATTCATTGGTTTTGTAGCCTAAGACAATTAGGTGAGTTTCTCATTTTTAGCTACTAACAGGTGAACTTTTGAGCATCTCTCCTTCAAGTGCAAGCTGAGATGATCACTCCTCCATCACGTCCAAGAGTTTTATAAACCTTGAATTCTCTATATTAAAGCCTTTGACACTTGAAATACACACAGTGGCTTCTGCTTTTCTGACCGAACCTACATTAATACAAGAGGTAGATGCAAGACACACTCCTGCTTCTCTATTTGATGCCATCTTATTGTTTTAGTTTCTAAACTGTTTGGGTTGGTTGGAGGTATTTGTGCTTGTGTATGTGTTATGTGCTCTGTGTGTGACAGCATACATCTCCTAAGAATAAGGACAATTCTACATAAACACGATACCATTATGACACCATGAAATTCACATAATTCTTTAATATCACCTAAGATATATTAAATACTCAAATTTTCCCAATTCTCCCAAAATACCATTTGCAGCTACTTTTTCTTTCTTTCTTTTTTTCTTCTTAAATTCAGGATCCAACACATCTTATCAGGTTGTTATGCCTCTATGGTCTTTTTTCATTTAGAACAGTACTCCCCAACCCTTGACATTTGCTCCTTTTGAAGAGTCCAGGGGAGGTGTCTTGTAAAATGTTCTGGATTTGACTGACTGTTTCCTCATCATTAGATTCAGGTTAAACATTTTTGGTTCCAATCTTTGAATGTGAACACAAGCTTCCTAAAAGCTCTTGCTTACAGAAGAAATCAGCTACTACATGTAAATGGAATGATATAATCTTTTTAAAAAACTACTCTTTTGAGCCCTCAGATAATATTTGATTCAAGCAAGGATTATCAATGAATGCTAAAACCATAGGTGAAAAACTGTTGAGGAAAGGGATGCTCACATGCCTTCAAAGTATCACCCCACAGATAGATGACCTATTAATTATTAAGTCTATTTTTTACAATGAAGAAACCTGGTGGATCATTTTAACCAAGTGATCAAACTTAGCATCACCAAATAGCAAGACAACCTAACATTTTGTATCTCCAGATGTGGTGCAGTAAGAAGGGTCAGATACGAAGTATTTTGAACCAGATTATTTCCACATGAAGCTGTTTGCACTTCCTTTCTTCTTTGTTGCTTAGTATCTGATACTCTCAGCTGAATTTTTAGAAGAGAATTACCCATTTGGATTTTTTTTTTAATCCAGGAATTGCCAACATAATCTGGATGTAGAGTAAAAATAATTTTAAAATGTATTTGTAAAGATTAAAAGGTACCTTATTCTTTAAGGTTCTGTAGGAGCAGTTTTGCTATAAACACATGAAATACACAAGTATATGGATTTCAAATAAAATGTCAACATGCACCAAATGAGATTTCTTAGGCAGTCTTCCTCTTTTGACCTATTCTTTAAGGGAACATTAGTGACTCCTCATTCTAAATACAGAACTCCTTCGACTTATGATAGAGTTCCATCCCAATAAACCCATCCCAAATTGGAAATATTGTAAGTTGAAAATACATATCATACATTGAAAATATTGAGCTTTGCTGGCTCAGTTAGTGGAGCGGGCAACTCTTGATCTCGGGATTGAGTTCAAGCCCCCACTTTGAGAATAGAGATTACTTAAAACTAAAATCTCAAAAAAAAAAAAAAGAAAAGAAAATACATTTCATACACCTAACCTAACAATATTGAATGATTGAATAGTGTGCTGAAAGTGATAAAACAGGGGCGCCTGGGTGGCTCAGTTGGTTAAGCAACTGCCTTCGGCTCAGGTCATGATCCTGGAGTCCCGGGATCGAGTCCCACATCAGGCTCCCTGCTCAGCAGGGAGTCTGCTTCTCCCTCTGACCCACTCCCCTCTCATGCTCTCTGTCTCTCATTCTCTCTCTCGCAAATAAATTTAAAAAAAAATTAAAAAAAGAAAATGATAAAACAGAAGGTTGCACGGGGGCAGAATGGTTGTCAGTGTATCGGATGTTGACCCCTGTGATCGCAGGGCTGACTGGGAGCCACCACTCTCTACGACTGCCCAGCATCAAGGGAGGGGATCGTGCTGTGAATCTCTAGCCTGAGAGAAGATCCAGATTCAAAATTTGAAGTTTGGTTTTTACTGATTGCTGATCTCTTTTGCACCATCCTAGACTCGAAAATTGGTAAGTTGAAATTTGTAAGTTGGGGACCATCTGTGGTTAGTCAAACTTGTTGCAGATTGTTCTCCTTCCATCTTATCTGCCAATAACTCAGGTGTAAACTGGGGTGGAGTAGTCTTTACTCAGTGTGGCAGCATCCCAGGGTCCGTCCCAGAACATACCAGAAACATAGGTAGAATAGAGTAACCATTCATTATGGATACATTGTACATTGTTCTACTTCTCTCACCAGGCGTAAATGCAAGTCCACTTCAACAACAACATATATACCTCAAATGCACCCAAAAAAGGGGGGGTACTTAACACAGCACTGAAATAGCCAAGCATATTTAGTAGTGACCTGTGTAATCACTATTTTGTCTTGAAAGATGATCTATTTGCATGATTTGTCAAAAAGAAAAGCAATTAGATAGGCCATCTAGAAGTGGAAAATATAGTCATTAAAATGAAAAAAAAAATCATTTGGCTACAGTTGGAGAAAGAATTAGTAAAC